TGGTTGTGGTTGTGGTTGTTGTTGTTGTTGTTGTTGTTGTTGTTGTTATATATCGTTTCTGTTTTTCCCAGATAGCGAGGCTATGGGGTTCTCACTTCAAATAACAATGAGTTGCCCGCGCGCGCTTTCGAGACAGGTTGCTGGTGCTGGTGCTGGGCGCCGGTGCTGGTGCAGGTGCTGTGAGCTGGCTGTGCAGGTGCTGGAGACAGGTTGCTGGTGCTGGTGCTGGGTGCCGCGCGCTGGCGCTGGTGCTGTGAGCTGGCTCTGCACGCGGCGGAGACAGGTTGCTGGCGCTGGGCGCTGGGTGCCGGTATTGGTGCTGGTGCTGTGAGCTGGCTGTGCAAGTGGTGGAGACAGGTTGCTGGCGCCGGGTGCTGGTGGAGATAGCGGGCGCCGGCGCTGCTGGTGCTGCTGCTGTGATCTGGCAGCGCGCGTGGTGGAGACTGGGCGGTGGTGCTGGGTGCCGGCGCCGGCGGCGGCGCTGGTCGGGCGCTGGCGCTTCTGCCGGTGTGGTCAGCTGGCAAAGCGCACCGCTGCTGGTGTCAGCTGGTTGGGCGCGCTGTGGAGGCGCCGTAAGCTGGCTGTGCAGGCTGCGTACAGTCTTGTTCCAGCCAGTCGCGTGTCAACAGGTCGTGGGATTCTGCCTAGCTATCTGGGTCTATGCTGGTGTAATTATTGCTAGCACCGTTGATATGGAGCCAGGGTGCACGCGCCGCTGCAGAGTGCCCCTGCCAGATGCGTGGCCGTGCGCGCTTTGGAGCTTGGTTGCTGGTGCCGCTGCAGACAGATGCGTGGCCGCGCGCGCTTTGGAGCTTGGGCGCTGGTGCCGTTGCAGGGTGCTTCTGCACGGCGTTGCTGCAAGGTGTCCATGGCCGTGTGCTTTGGAGAGACGTGTATGGCCGTGTGCTTCCGAGGTTGATGTGTGTGGCCATGTGGGCTTTGGCGTTTGGGTGCTGGCGCCAGTGGCGGGGTGCAGGGTGTTGCTGCAGCCAAATTCTTATGGCAGTGTGGGGCTTCGAGCCTGCATATTTGCGCCGCTGCTATGGTGTTGCCGACAAGTTGTCTTTCGCTATCGCGCGCTTTGGAGCTTGGATGCTGGTGCCGCTGCCGGGTGCTGCGAGCTGTCGCTTTGGTGGGCGCTGGTGCCACTGCAGGGCGCTGCCAGAGGTGTATGGCCGTTTGCGCTTTGGAGCCTGGACGCTAGTGTTTATGGCGCTGTGCCCTTTGGAACCTGCACGCTGGTGCCGCTGCACATCTGCCAGATGTCAACGGCAGCGTGCGCTTTTGGGGCTTTTTGACTCCCCCCCCCCAAAACAACCAGACAACAAGCACTTTACTGCTACTACTACTAGTGGTACTAGTGCTACTACTACTAGTGGTAGACACCCCCCACCCCGGGACGTGTGGACAGTGGGCGGGGCGTGTGCGGAGGCGGAGGGGGTGGAAACCCGGTTCTCAATCTATGCACTGAAAATCAATCTTTTCTTGGAGGCTCCTGGAAGTTTTTGGATTCCAATGGAACAATATGGTCGATTTAAACGCCTTCTTAGGGTCTATGAAACTCCTCTGAGGGTCATGCTACTGGTGATGCTTATTGTAACTGGTTAAGTAAACCCTGTAAAACTTCTACTTAGAACCTCTACCACATCCTAGAAACAAAAACTGCAACCCCGTGGTTGTTTTTTGGACCCCCCCCCTTCCAAAAGATGTTGTTGTCTCTACCCCCCCAAGAAACAAAATCGGCAACCCCGTTGTTGTTTTTTGACCCCCAAAAAAAACAACGCAACAAAAAACAAGAAGCAGACCAACCAAGACTTGAGTACCACAACAACAAGAAGTCCAGCTACTAACATCTCTCCAAACCTTCGACCCTATCCCTAACAGAGTCCCATTGAAATCCCTGACTTGCAACATGTGACAACTATGTTGGGCGGTTGTTTTTGTCTCTACCAACAACAACAACAACAACAACGACGACGACAACAACAACAACAATAACGATGGTAAAGTCATAATTGAACTTGCGACGCGTCGTTCTTGAAAGCGGGTGGTATGATGATTAACGGTAGAAGTTCCAATCGCTGGGCTCCCAACCCATAAGAGGCCCATTGCAGCCTATAATGACTAGAGTGGTTTTGTAGACTGGTTAATTGTATCTATAGAACAAAGTTCAAACCAACCCTGGCTTTGACTCTTCGTGCGACGATAATCAACTGACAATGAACTTTTCTGAACTTATTAACTTCTAACACAAATGCCCAGGCTGCCTGAACACACTCGCACACACAATTTATCCCGGCGAGAGACCCCAAAGTGAGTGTGGATGAGAGGGAGTGTGAGTGTGAGTGTGAGTGAGAGTGAGAGTGAGAGAGTGAGTGTGAGTGCGAGTGTGAGCGAGAATGAGCGTGGGCGAGAGTGAGAGTGAGTGTGAGTGTGAGTGTAAGTGAGCGTGAGTGAGAGGGAAGGTGGGTGTTAGTGAGTGTGGGTGACGGTGAGAGTGAGTGTGAGTGAGAGTGAGAGTGGGGGAGTGAGTGAGAGTGAGTGTGAGAGTGAGAGTGAGAGCGAGTGAGAGTGGGAGAGTGAGCGCGAGTGAGTGCGAGCGTGAGTGAGGGTGAGAGTAAGTGTGCGTGAGAGTGAGGGAGTGTGAGTGTGAGTGAAAGTGGGAGAATGAAACTTCGAGGTTCAGCATGCGCTGTGCCTGCCACGAAATCTGCACTTCGAGGTTCACCAAGCGCTGTGCCTGCCACAAAATCTGCACTTCGAGGTTCACCAAGCGCTGCACAGGTTCACCAAGCGCTGTGCCTGCCACGAAATCTGCATTCCAGGTCGACCAAGTGCTGTGCCTGCCACGAAATCTACACCCCGAGGTTCACCAAGCGCTGCGCCTGCCACGAAATCTGCACATCGAGGGTCACAGAGCGCTGTGCCTGCCACGAACTCTGCACTTCAAGGTTCACCAAAATGCTGCACCTGCCACGAACTCTGCACTTCGAGGTTCACCAAGTGCTGCACGCGCCACGAACTCTGCACTTCGAGGTTCACCAAGCGCTGCGCTTGCCACGAAATCTGCACTTCGAGGTTCACCTAGCGCTGTGCCGGCCACGAAATCTGTACTTCGAGGTTCACCAAGTGCTGCGCCTGCCATGAAATCTGCAAACGAGCCACATGTCCAAAAGTCACGATTCACTGCACCTGTCAGGAAATCTAAGCTCCTCAAAGATCACCACCATGTCCAAAGTGCTGCGCCTGCCACGAAAACTGCATTTCGAAGTAAAACAGCTCCGATCCCTTGCACCTGTCACGAACAGTCGACTTTGGAGCACCAAAGCACGAGGTTTCCCTTGCGCCTGCCAAGAAAGGTCACCACCATGTACGAAAATGCGCGCGGCGCCGCAACGAGAGCGCGAGCCTGCGCAGTCGAAGTGCACATGGACGATGTCGAGAGGCATGAATGTACTGTAAATGGCAACGAATTAGCCGTTCACGGCCGCACGCTTCAGCGATCTAAGCATCAGCTGCTTTTCTGTTACCGTAAGAACCCCTAGTGTGAACACACTGTTTGGGGAAAAAATACACCGGCGCGGGCCCCAGATAGCAGGTGTGTATAGGAAAAACCCATAGCGCCTGGTGAAAAATCCAAATCTAATCAATTAATAGCCTTTGTTGTCAATGAGCGGTGCCAAGGGCATTGCTCACCTTGCCAGGGATGACATCACGTCATGCCAGGGAGGACATCTATCAGGGACAATACCCACCCGTATGGTGCCTGAAACATTGATGCACGTATTGCCTTGTGGTGTGCATCGTTCCCCTTGTGGTGACATGTCGCGCCAGGGATGAAATCATGTCATGCCAGGATTGACATCGTGTCATTCCAGAGATGACATCATGTCATGCATGATGCCAGGGATGACATCATGTCAAGCCAGGGATGACATCACGTGATGCCATTGACCAGCACCACCACCAGCACGCCCGCACAGAACGCCGATCCAGCAGCAGAAGCAGCAGCAGCAGTACCCAGCAGCAGCAGTACCCAGCCCAGAAAACGCCTGCACCCGATCCAGCACCGGCACCAGCACCCGCGCCAGCACCAGCACCTGCACCTGCACCAGCACAAACGCCAACCCAGCACCAGCACCCGCACCAGCACCAGGCACCCCCACCAGCACGCCCCAAGCAAACGTCGATCCAGCACCAGCACCCGCGCCAGCCTGCGCCAGCACCTGCACATGCAGCAGAAGACGCGCCTAAACACAGCACAAGCACCAGCACGCCCCAAGCAAAGGCCCATCCAGCACCAGCACCCGCACAAGCACCTGCACCAGCACCAGCACCACTGAGAAGTAAGAACGTCTATAGCTTGCAGCTATCTGGGGAAAATTGCATCGGTGTTCAACCCGTGGCCTGTAATTACTGCTTCAGAACTGACATCTGTTCAATGCATCTGAATCGATAGAGGTGTGTAACTCTGTGCCGAAAGGGGGGTCATGCCATGATGCGTCTCCAAGTCCGAAGGTGCTGTGGGGTCCGCGTGGTGTCAGCAATGACGATTATCAAGCTACCAGACCTCTACTCTAAGCTGCATAGATATCTCACCACTTCACTTGATGTGTTCTCGTGTTCCAATCCTTGACTGTCAAGCTGTCAAGCGGGTGCAATGGTAAGGACATTGGTTCACTCCCATTGACAAAGCCAAAGGCTCGATGTGTGGCTTTGGCACTCACCCCGTTCAGTGTGTCACCATTAAACTCAAGTCTGTACCTCATCGCACATTTCAATCTGCCTTTTCACTGCTTCCTTCAACTTTCAAGTTCTGTCTACAACAACCTGAAGCCTCAAACCTGCCAAACTCATCCAAGCTGCACGAGTTCAAACCATGCGGAAGCGTCAGGTTCACCTTAGTTGCAGACAAATTAAAAACAAAGGTGGCTGCATCAAGCAGAGGGCCATGACACATGCTGGTGCGACGCTTTGGCGTAAAGCAAAGTGTCCCAATGCAGCCAATGATCCAAGAGCTTGGACAACGCGTGCCTGCAAATCCGCTTGTGAATCAAGGCGCCCTTCCCATGTTGCTGCAAAACTCACCTGGAGACGATATGCGGCTTGGCTCAACGTTCAAAGCTTGGCAAGCACCCAGCAGACCGGCCTGAGAAGTGTCTCTGGACCTACAAGTAAAGGGTCGTCTCAATGGTGTTGGCTTTGCAACCAAAGGCAACCGAAAGTCTGATCTGAGCGAACAGGTTCTGATACGATTGATGTTTGCGATCCTGCTACAAGCATGGACTGGAATGTTTCAAGTGAGGCCAACATGAATCAAGTGTCATGTAGCAAAGTGGAAAGGCGCTGGTCCTTCATAAACAAGCAGCTGCCTGATGCCCTGATCACGAGCTGTGACGAGACAAGCACAAATCTCCAAGCTCCAAGACGTGCTCCTACCCGCTTGCACTCACAAAGCCTGACACTAGGTGTGCTGTCTGCGCAGTTTGGTAGCAGTCTACAAGGTTTCAGAATCTCGAGGCCTCAGCGGAGGATTGAACGATCAAGTTGCCGGACAAGCTAGCAGAGGTCAACCGATTGGACTGCCTTGGAGAGTCATCAAGGAACGATGGCAAGTTCCGGCAACTATAAATCCAGAAATAGAAGAGGTGCTGCTTGGAGTCTGCGGTCATACAAGCAATGCGGCGTTAAAAGCAGATCCAGTTTCAACAAGCTGCAAATTTGGGTTCAATGTGGAGAAAAGAGCGATTGGCGCAACCTTAGGCCGTAAGCACTTCAAACAGCTCCAAACAAAATCCACCCTGTGGGGTAATTCCGTCCAGAACCTGAGTCGCTTGCAATGAGAAGAGCCAGGCCAACAAGAAGGAGCCCTCCTTGCAAAACCTCCGATGTCTTCCAGCCCCATGAAACAACATGCAGGGTGCCAACAAACCTAACTGACCCAAACACCCAGGAACCATTGTCATAAATGTTACTGCATGGCCAAAGAACAAAGATCTCAGCCCATTTTCGAAGTAACCGAGTGTCGCTCGCTTGGGGTCATGCCAGTCGGTGCCTTCTCCCAGGCTGGTCGTGGAGCAGCGGGTGGATACCATCTTCTCATGTGGAAGTCACGCTTTGTCCTGGTTCTTGAAAAGTCAACATCAATCTAGAGCACAATATCATCAGGAACCTTGCAAGAATGTTTGCTACAGTATTGTTTGTGGATGGCCCCACATGTTCTAGTCGGAATCAAGCATGTTGATGTATTTAGCAATGTTTTGTCAGGTCACACTGCAACTGCGACAAGGAGGGCTGGTTAGGGCAGTGATTTATACCAGCTAAGAACCTCAATATTGGTTTCTCAACTGACACCAGCCGACTTTTTGTGCCAGGGGAATTGTTTTTGAGCTATCTCGAATTGGGTATGTTGTTCCCCCAACTCTCAGTCCAAACACAGTTCTGGCAGGAAGGAAAACACAAGAATATATGCACATGAAGCGCTGAAACGGTTGAGGATACGCAATGCAATGCCGAATGGGTGGCTATACTGTTATTGAGCTAAGAGCACAATTTCGAACATGCTACAGTACACAAAGAACAGGCAGCTTGCTCTTTGCAAGAATCCCCAGCAGCGTCACAGAAAGGAAATTGACTTGTGCAAAGAGTGAGAGAACTGCACCCTGTGTCCTGTAAAGACTCTGCTGCGTATCCTGCGAGAAGCTTGGAAAGGCGTAAGCTCTGGCTGCTTGATTGCCCTCTGGGCTCCTCCAACTTCATCCACATAAAGAAGTCCATTGACGTCCTGGTGAAGCTCATGGATCTTCAACCTACCATGATAGTACACTCATAGGTATGTCTTTTCTGATGTAAGCAAACCTGAGAGTCATTTGTTTGGGACTGTACCCTTCTCCCAAACCAAGATGTCCTTGTAATGGTCCAATCCGTCAACACGCGCATTTCTTCGACAAAGGGCACTGCTAGATAGGCCTGACTGTCTGACAATTGACAAATATGATCAAAGCTGTAAGTACAAAGTTGCAATGCAGCAAAAAGGTGTCTAAGCCTTGAGAGCCAGATTGGTCGCAAAGTCCATGCTGTGTGTGAGCCCAAGACCACCAGATGTGACATGCACATCGTACCTGTGCTCAAATGTTGCACACCGTACCGGATGTGACAGCAAAGAATACTAAATGTATGCTGCCCGTCCTCATTTGTAAGGAAGTGAGAATCAAGTACAGCATGAAGAAGATGTAGAAGGTTGACTGCACTGGGTTGTTCATCCTGCATGCAAATGTGATCATGGATCATGGTGCAGTAAATCACTTACGCACGTGTCCTGGGTGTGTATGTTGCACTCCCTGCCCACCTTGATCAAGCAGCTGCGCTGTCTTTAGCAAAACAAAACCATCAGCGCCCGATTGACTTCTGTGACCAAGTTGCTGAGCTACAAAGAAGGCATGGAGTGCAATGAGTTCGGCCAGGAAAAGCATCCTGAAGAGATTCACAACAACGAAAAACATTTGTGGGATGAGGTGGGATGAGTGAAAGCTAGCTAGCAAAAGGGTGAACGCAAAAGAATTGCAGGAAACAAACGCAACTTGGAGCGAGCACAAGCGTTGAAGTCGTATCCATCAAGTGTTTACGCAGTTTGTGTGATGCTGAAGGAGTCGGAATTTTCTCACAAAAATTACTATACAAATCCCCTATGGAATTCCAGGTAGGTGTTGGGCCCCGGATTTCATAAGGTACAAAGTGCATTTGGTTAAGAATGCATGATTATAGAATGAATACTTGATCACAAATGATCATTTTCTGTCAGTATAAACTGTCACCCTCAACCCTCTCTTTGCGCATATGGCCTGTAAAAAATGCCTCAATAACAAAGCCTTTTGGTGCTTTATAAAATGAATAGACCATGCTGAGACCTATATTATCCCTTATTATTTCACCTATGTCAGATTGGGCAGGAATCTATTCTATAGCAGCTGGTGGCTGCAATGGCTTAAAATTGCATTCTATAATTCTATAAGCAACCCTGTTGAATCTGAATGATTCTGGTCTGGCAGGAATTTCTATAATGCATTAGGATGCTTCAGGAATCTCATCAATATTCTGGGAATACCCGCTATGGAATTCAGTGTAGCTGATGTGGAAATGTCCAGGAATGTCCAGGATGTTGAGCTTGCTGGTTTGCTGCCCTTACAGTCATGTTGATGATCGACGAGATTGAACCAATTCAAATTCAACGGAATTCCAGTCAAAACGAGTTGAGAAATGAAAACATCATATTCGCATTTGGGCCAGGACAACCATATCCAATTTTCGCACTCCTACATGTCCAAGTGGCTTCCATTCTATAACAACCAAGGCTTATGTAAAATGGCTGCCCCTAGGGGCCCTAGGGGGCTTGAGCGCCTCATTTTATAATGTCTATTCCCACCAGGATCTATATAACTAGTACGGGTTAGTATGGGCTTTGAGGGTGGGCCTGATTGGTGAACCTCAATCCACAATCAGCCGTGGTCGTCTAACCTTCAGCCTTTATCTATTTTGCATGCTGAAGGGCACACCGGGAGTTGAAGGGCACACTCTGCACCATGCAACCAAAAGGAGAGGAAGTCAAGCCATTTCATTCATCAACGCTCCGTCCCAGTCAAATCTCTATGTGTCACAAATATGCAAACACCACAGCCCTTATCAACCAATTCAAACAAACATCCTGGCTTTACATTAGGATCAACAAACTCATGTCAATGTGTTTGACTTTCTGCGGCCTCTGTGCGATGAAAACGGCCTGATTCACAGTAGATTTTGCCTGCGCAGAACGTGTCCTACCTTACGCACCGATGATTAATGAAAGCAAGTTCTGTAGGTGATCAAACAATCAAAACTTGGAACAGTCAATGCTGAGAGTAGGACTGAGCTGCCTGCGATCGCTGACATGCATATTGAATCACCATGCGTTACAGCATCCCGAAGGCAAACTGCAAATCATTAGAGCAATTCGTTGAAAGCTTTTGGTGGCTGTTTGCCTGTGTGCAGGATGGCAGGCTGCAGCAGTCACCGCACCACCACCGCCACCACCACCACCAACAACAACAGCAACAGCAGCAACAACAACAGAAAAAAAGAACGACAACAACAACAACACCAACAACAACTGCAACAACAAGGTACAGACAAACTGCATCCCCATAAACACACATCTAGTCTTACTTTGTCTCTACCCCCTCAAGGAAAAAGAACTGCAGCCCCGCGGTTGGTTTTTGACCCCCCCTCCAAAGCAACAAGCCAGTACTGGTACTGGTAGTACTGATATTGGTACTACTAGTAGTGGTCGTCCCCATAGGGGAAGTGGCAGTAGTAGCGGTATGGCTAGTGGCAGTGGTAGTGTGGTAGTAGTAGTAGTAGTAGTAGTAGCGGTAGCAGTAGCAGCACTAGCAACAGTAGCAGTAGCGCTAGCGGTAGCGGTAGCGCTAGCGGTAATCGTAGTAGTAGTAGTAGTAGTAGTAGTAGTAGTAGTTGTTGTTGTTGTTGTAGTTAGTAGTTAGTAGTTAGTAGTTAGTAGTTAGTAGTTAGTAGTCAGTAGTCAGTAGTCAGTAGTGAGTAGTGAGTAGTGAGTAGTGAGTAGTGAGTAGTGAGTAGTGAGTAGTGGGTAGTGGGTAGTGGGTAGTGAGTAGTGAGTAGTGAGTAGTGAGTAGTGAGTAGTGAGTAGT